TACAGATTGAATGTTTGTTCTTTATACATTGTAATATTCTATAGAAAATTGATAAATCATTGGTTTACAGCTATGCCAATAATATATTGGCACCAAAATATAAATTACATTTATTGTTTTTAAGATATTAGAACGAATTTTCATTTGCTTCACATATATTAATATGTTAAGACTTTTAATGATTAGCTCTACCTATATCAATATATTAATGGATAAAATTTTAAAATTTCTATATTAGGTGTATAGGAACACCTGCATGTTAGACGCTATTGGTCACCGCGTTTGCAGTTTTCCACATAATTCATACATTGCCACATTGGTACATCCATAAAGGCGGAACTACCGCGGCTTGGGTCAATACTCGGCCTTGGTCCAGGCAAATCTCGCACCGTACTAACATTTACAGTACACGTAATAAATTAAATGGACATAATCATATGTACCAAATGTGCTTGAAAATAAGTGAAAATTTTCAAAATAAATAAAATGATTTTTTCCTTGGTAAAACAATAATCAATTATAATCTAGCTGAAATTTTTAAAAATAACTAAAATTCTAAACATTGTTCCTATTTATTTTTTGAAAATGTAATATAATGTGGAACCCATAAATAATATTACCTATGTTCTGTAGTGTTTCATTTATATTTTATTATTCTTTTCGCTCATTTTAAATGGTCTCGATTAAAATAATGTAAGCAAACCCGGATTAGGATCGATTGAGTTTCAGGACACCATAAACTTAGTGGATCCTTTTTCAACTTTTTAACTTCAAAAAAATTGTATCACTATATTTTAAAAACTGTAAATTATTGTATATTAGTATAATTTTGTCAGCACAAAAAAAAATATGTATAAGGCTATATAAATTAATATTTATTTAATAATTTATTATACACATATTATATATATATATATATAAATTGTATTAGTTAAAAAGAATAATTATTTACATTTTTTTCCCTGGTTTTTCTTTTGTAAGTTATTGAATAGTTTCATTGAAATCGATCAATTGCAAAATATAATTTTCTGAATATAATATCATTAATGATGTTAAATTGTTCGCTATCTGGCTTGTTCTATATTTATTTTTTATTCTGATTAATTTGGAAGATGCTCTTTCAGCCGAATAATTATTTTTAATACAAATATGGGCATCTCATGCGAATTGCGAATAGAACAAGAATACCTAATATAAATTATTACCACTTATACGCTATCAATAAAATTATGAGAAAAACAATTTAGTAATTTTTTCGTGATATAAAATCAAGAGCATTTTTATTTTATAATTATTAATTATCTACTGTACCCACTAACATAATTTTTTTTAAACTTTTTTAAATGCATTAAAAATATATATTTATGTTGGAAATAAAGATAAACCGTGTCCCCCTTTAATCCGGGCTTGAGTATAAGTACCTACTACAACCACAAGCACCTATACATGTTAAAACTAAACCTATTGTACCACTATGACACAGGAACGTCTATAGACAATTTGTTACTTCCATACATTGAGATAAATCATGGAAAAAAATATCAACGTCGATTAAGTAATCGAAAATGTTTAAAAAAAAAAATGGTTCCAATATTATAGTCATTTAGTTAATTAGTTTTATAAATATTCTTTGATATTTTTAAAGTATTCTCTTGATTTAAATAATATTAAAATGCGTTAATTATGTTACTTTAAGAAATATAATTTGTTTGAATTTAGTAATTTTTAAATATAAAAATGCTATACAAATATAACAGTACACAGGCAATATATTGAATCAAAGAAATTCGGATTTCGACTTTAAAGATAAAAAAATAGTGAACTGTAGTGTGTAAGTACTCATATATATATATATACATTATTATACATAGAATATACATTATTACTTTAATTTTTAAATAAAAATTCGTAGATAATCAATACAAATATACAAAATTGTGTAGGTACTAATACAACAAATTCAATTAAAAAATAAAAAATAAAATTAAGAATTTTTCACCTCTCCTCCCACAGTTTATAAATACGTAGACAACTGAATTGATCAGAAAAAGTGGCCCTGTCTAATAAAAATCTCTTGTTCTGTTTTCTGTCCTCGGGTACATCATAAGTTTAAAATATTTATAAATTTGAGTTTGCTATAAACTGCATGCCCAATAACAATAGCTATCTAGTTTCTAGTTTGAACTATAAAACTATAATTGAAAAAGCTGGTATGAAAAGGTAATATTATAATAAAGCTATAGCGGTACCTACCTATTGACTATAATAATGTTTAGGTATAGTCGTATTAATAGTTATTAGATAAAATCTAATATGACAAACATACATGACGAAATCACTGCTTTTGTTATATAAAAAATTGTTTTGCACGAGAACTGCTGTGTGCTAATATTACTAAAATAATTTTTGTTTGTAGGTTCGCGCATAAATTATAATATATTAGGTATGCTTAATATGCAGTAGGTAGGTAGGTATAAACTATAAACTCTTGATAGTTCAATAGATAGTAAATTAATGAACGACATCACGGAACTATGTAGGGACAAGCCACACGATATCTACCAACTTGCCGTAGCTAGTATTTAGTAATTACTATTTACTAATTAGTATAATTATATTGTATACTCACAGTCTAACATAAAATGGAATGTTGTTGTCTTGTTGGTCCCATTTTAGATTAGGAGCGGAGCATTGAACACAACTATTGATTGTACAATGTGTTTTTTTTTTTTTTTTTTTGTATATCTGACGCCAGACGTAGGTAGTAACGTTACTTTTAGTTTTAATAAAAATGATTCAATCTTAAACATTGAATGATTTCCAGTCGAAAATTGAATCTATAGTTGGTATTTCGGGTCTTGAGGATTAATAATAAGAAATACTCAGTAGGTACCTACCTATAATTATTAAAATAATCGAGAAAACGGGATATTTACACATCGTTTCCAGTTATCGACAGTAGATTTTATGTTGTTTTACAATTTAAAAACATTGAAAATATACATCTTAATATAAATGATTTTTTTATAAACATTTGAAGTCCAAAATTCTATAAAATTGAATATTTAAAAAATATTAATTACATGCCATAAGAACTTGAAACGTTTGTCAATTGTCATTAGGTATTTTATATTATGTACTCATCTATTATTTAAATCTATTATAGATATGCCTACCACCTAGCTACTTATCTTTTCTTGTGAAAGAGTTCTTCATAGCATTTGCATATTATTGCAAAGATTATGTTTTACCATCACATTGTTTTTAAAAGAGGTGACTAAATATAAAATCTGTAGGAATTCGTCAATCGCGTTTAATAATTAGAAAGCAATATTTTGTTTTACTACTTACTAATTAGTAGTATAGATTAAATACCCATAAATTATAATAGACTGTAGATAGACACGTCATGAAAAATCACCGATACCAGATAGGCAGACGACTTGGACTTGGGCGAAATATTACTTGTTTTAGTTCTATTTAATCTATATTAGTAGTTACTATTTTCATATAATGTTATTTGAAGGATACTTGCCTAATGACTTAATAGTAGTAACCTTTTAAAAATAAAAGTGTTAGAAATTAATTGGTAAAAATTTATTTTAAATTTTAGTCTAGATGTACCTATTTAAAATTAAGCGCTTATGCTTATATAAATAATAAAATAAAAGAATATTACATTACCTAACTAATACAAAAAAATAGTATTAATTACTTAGCTATTAAGAATAACAATAATTTACCAAATCGACTTAGCATTAAATTTATTATTTACCAATTTTTAAATTACTAATTATAATTGAATTAGATACTTCTTCCAAGTCTTAAATACTTACCTTCAAATAGATAATTCAATATTGAGAGGTAATAGACATAAATTAAAATAACACAAGGTCATTGAATTTGTAAGAGCAGGTCAAATTTTGACTCATCAAGGTATATTTGTGTAAAATACTACAATTTACCATTACGATTATGATTTAAGAATATATATCATAAGTTATAACTGTAAGTAGCAGAGATAAACTGCAAAAATAGAATTCAGTCGACTTATTATTTTATGTTTAAAAAAAAAAAAAAAATCATTAAACATAATTAAAATTAAAATAATAACAATAGTTTTAATTTAGTGTGAAAAACATATACCTAACAATTCAACGATAATATAATGTAATTTGTGGTGTATATTTTTAAAATAATTATTAAGAACTAGACAGGATTGAACACAATAACTTCAAAAGTATTTTTAAGAAAATTTAATGAAAAATAAAAAGAATACTACAATATAACTTATTCAAATATATAAAACTTTTATCTAGTCAAAACAATATGAAACAAATTCACTGCCTATTTGGTATTGAAGTTACTACATTCAATGACCCAAGTTGCTAGGAAACTAAAAAAAGTGGTAACTTACATAATTTTATTTAATCATATATCAATTTTATTCTAAAATTAAAAATAAAATAAATACAACCTAATAATTTATTGTAACTAGTCTAATATACATTTTAAATATTCAACTAAATCTTTATAATTATTGCAAAATAAAGAAAACATAAAACAACTATGATGGATCTATTACTATTAAAACAAAACTAAAACGAATTGTCTTTACTTACAAGTATTAACAAATTTAAAAACAATCTACTATCAAGCTAAATATCTCTGGGAAAAATATTCCTCCTAAAACAAATAGTACCAGTACCATAATCAATAATAATATTAATAATAGGAATCATATATTTCAGTATCATATTATATGTGCACGCATCATTAGCATTTTGTGACAAAAAAATATGTTTCAAATTCTTTATTAGGACAGTTTATTGGCAAGATTATGGTTTTGGTCCCACCACTTATCCCTAATTTCGACATATTCTGAAATTAAATTATCAGAAATAAGTTCACAAAAGTATAAATTATAAATAGAAACAAAAATAGCAAAGATATGGTTTGATTTTCATAATTGACAAGTCTACATTAATTAATAATACAAATACAGAAAAAAAAACAATTATTATATTCAATAATAATAAATATATGAAAAACATTTTAAGTGGGTGGTAGACATTAACCATAGTCCTTTTAACTTATTAATAGGAAATGTGAAACATAGTCGATTTCTCTTTAAAAAATAAAAATAACCCAATATTATGCACTAAAAAGTAATAATTGACAAACATGAGATACGGTAGTTCATTAAGCAGCGCAATGTCACTGTGCCATCTCGGCATTCGCTATTCCTTTGGGTAGCGATGAAAAACATAGTCTGAGTAAATATGGAAACTTAGATGATTCACATTTTATCGGCCAGTGGTTGACAGCCATTATCACTTCCACAGCTACAGCCATATCTGTAAACTCAACAAGCCCAGATGAGCTACGTGCTTCTGTACCTTTGGGTGGAAACATCTTAATGATAATTTTTGGATCAACATCTTTTACAGCTTTGCTTATTGTCTGGGATAAATCGGCTTCTGATATGTTTGGTGGAGCATTAAAGAAATGCAACACACTGGATGGGGTCTGACGCCGATTTTTTCCATTAGAATTTGAATGATACCTGCAAACACAATTATACATTGCTTAATATTTAATTCTTTAGAGAGCAATTTAAAAAATAAATTAAAATACTTATAAGTTATAGGATAGTTTGTTAAATGATTAAAATAACTATTTGCAATGTTGAAAAATTAAAATAAATTCAGTTTTAAATGTGTCTTTTAAACTATCTATTTAGGTAAGCAGTGATTTCATCAAAAACTATTAAATCACTATATACCATTTAAATAATATATATACTAAGATTTTTTTTTTTATCAAGTAATATTACTATCAACCAAAATTATATTTATAAATTAAATTGACATTCAATATTAATATAATGGTTTGCCAATTAAATATTACCTATTATTTTTTGAATTGGAATAATCTTTGAATGATGGAGTGCCATCAGGCAGATCATATGGTACCATAATGTCAGACAAATACATTTGCTTTGATACTTGCAGCTGTAACACATTACCACTAATAAGTGTTAGCTTATTCAAATTATCCATACAACGATCTACAGACATTTCGTTGTCCATCTGTACCATTGCACAACCTTCCTTGCTTTTTAAAAATTTAATTTTAACTACGTTTCCGTACAAACAAAACAAATTAAACAGTCGATTACAATTTGCTTTATCAGGATCTAAACCATAGACCATTAGTACACAACGCCCAGGTGCTGCTGGATAGCTATCTCCATAATTATTATTAGGTAAATCATGTGGTGTAGATAACAGTCCACCCCGACATTCGAAATCAAATCGAGGGAATGTAGGTCGAGTAGATATGAGAGGAGCTCTAGGAGGGTCCGGTAACAAAGGTGCAGTTTTCTTCTCGCCAGGATTCGGTGTGGTGTAGTCCCACGTTTCGGAGTCGTTCTTGTAAACGTTAAGCTTGGACGGCTTAGCGTATTCTACCCGTAGTGTACAGCACCCCTGGTAAATGTCGGCACCGTCCATCAACTGCTTGGCCCGTATGGCCTGTTCCACTTCTTCATATTCTACCATGGCTTGTACACCACGTTTCCTAAATATAACTATGCGCAGAACGTTACCATGGTCTTTGGAAATGGTGTGGATGACGTCTGTGTTTATCGGGTACGTCACTTTGGTGATGGTCAACAAAAGTATGTGATTGGGCTGCGTTTCGGCGTTCTTGCGGCGGCCGTCTTCGTACGACGACACGGAACTGTTGGTGGTTCGTGATTCTCGGTCGTAGTCGGCGGTCCTCAGCCGTTTGTTGGTCTGTTCGTGTTTCAAACTGTTGTAACCGTAATGGTTAAATGACATCATAATTTTCGAGGGAAACACGTCCCAGGTTCTGGAAAAAACGTTATTTATTGGTCATCGGCGAAACGACGGACGACATGGTCCAAAGTACGGATACCGAGAGAATGAGAGACAGAGAGTAAAAACGGAGAATAAGATGAGGAAGCGGAGCTCAGACGGATTTCAAAGGACTACATGGCACTTCGGGCGGACGAATCGTTTCCGACGAGGCCGAAAAAAATTGATCGCGTCAAAACGGTACGGACGACAACGATGATGTCACGGTCGTCGATCGAGACCATTTTATCAACATCATCTCACATTCCCACAGCGTCGAGCATGACAGCGATAAAAAAACGACGTTTGAATATAATTCACGATATTAAAACGATAATAGTCAGTATAATATATATATCGTGCACCTCAGACCAGCGCTATCATAAGACCGACGCCATTTTGTCTCGATATCTCTCGTGGAGGCGCGCACGCACACACAACTTTGTACAATACTAACCGCGAAACTCACCCGCACGCACTAACACGCGGCAAATGCGCGCGCACACGCGACGATGTCAGTAGTAATAATAATAATTATAAATTATTATTACTATTATTATTATTGAATTATACTATCGAATCAGGTCGTAGCAACAATAACAACAACAACAACAACAGTAACGACGATAAAAAAAATTTAATGACCTGCCTCGGGTGATTGAACGGAGTGTGGCGGAAACGTTCGAACATCGAAAGCGCACTGATCAGTGATCGCCGATCGGACGGTCGGAAGGTTCGGGTTCGTAAATGATGACGACGACGGCGGCGGCGGCGGCGGCAGCAGCGACGACGTCGTCGACGATAAGGCAGGCGCGCGCGAGTGGCGCGTTATTCGGTCGGCGTTTGGCGTGTGTGCGTGTCGCGCGACAAATGAGTGGAAAAAAATGAGGGGGGGGAGACGCGGTCGCGGAGAAACGATTTGAGAACCCCTCGGCGGCGTCCACGCGCAAGCTGCTGCCTGCACGCCTGCTGCCGCAAGCAGCAGCTGATAAACGCGGCCCATTTAGGGACGACGCGCGCCGACACTTTCGCACGGTACTCGGCCGTCCGCCCGCCGGTCGGCCCACAGCGGGACGTGGACCAGAATACAAAAGACTTTAATTATGTTATCGTAATTTAGCGCGAAGCCGGCCGCCACCGCCGCCGCCGGTGGCTCCGAGGGAAATTCCTTGGACGCGAGCCATCGCCCGTGCCGGCGGAAAAGGATGTAGATGAGAGCGGCTTAGCCCGCGTCGCGCGCGCGAACGTACCGTATTATAATAATGCGTATAGAGGTACTGCGGCACTTTTGGTTTCGGACGGTCGTCAGGTCTGCGGTGAGGTGGTGAGGTGGTGCCGGTTGGCAGGGCGATGGGTGGAGGGATGACTCGCGTTTATTTATAGGACTATTACAATGCGACGCGAACTAAAGTAACGCGCACATCGTAAAGACGTGTTTTATTTTATCTCCTATATAGATGCGCACTATTTATCTATTAGTAAGTATGGCGATCGGCGGTCGAGGTATCTGTAACGACGAGGGAGCGTCGGCCTATAGGTGTCTGTCTCCGGATACTTGCGTGTACTGCTCTGCTGTAGTTCAGTGGCGGTGGTTGGAGGAGGGCTGCAGTTAACGGCAAGGACATTTTGACCCGTGCCTCATTTCAGGACAGGTTCTTGGAATCCCAAAAAGAATTCTAGATGGGCTTGGGTGTTAACTGTTTAGTCGATAACACGTCTTGATTGGGATTTGTGATTACTCAGCGTTATCCGTCATGGTTATATAGACACGCAGGGCCACTGGGACCCACCATAACTAAAATCTTTTATCCTATAAAAATGCAACGATAAAATATTTCTTCGTTTCCGTATTTCGAATTGTACCCGTTATTCGAAAATGTTAAATTTTCAATTGTCTTTTACATTTATCATTGTCGCGATGCCAGAGTATACGAAAGATAAATGGATAAAAATATCCAAATTTCATTGTATAAATTTGTTAGTGTATGTGCCAAGTATCGATGTGGCATCGGGACAGTGACTACTGATCGTAGTTATTACTTATTAGTTAGTTCAACGTTATTGAATGTTTAATGTTTTCGTTGTTAAGTACTTTATTATTTATTGTTTATATTTTATTTTTTACAGTATCTTACAGTTAATAATATATAGACTTCGATTACTAGAATGTTATTATTTCGATACTAAAAACTACGAGTTTCATCAACAATTATATTATAAGTTTCAATGACCTAAGTTAGTCAAATTTGCAAACATTTTTTCAAATTTCTGTGACTATTTTTTTTATTATATCATGTTATGATGGTTTACAAGACCTTAAATTAATTTGCCCTTAGTCCTAAAAAACTTTTGAACGACTCTCTAGGTGTGTGCGTGTAGTCATTGCGAGTAGCCTAGTACCTCATATTATTGTGTCGCGTTTACTTTAAATGCACGCATGATTCGAGTACATTTTCACGAAACATGCGCAGCTTGTCCCATAAATTGTATTTTGTAAGTATAAGATAGATCATAGTCAGAACAAGTCATAAAAAAGAACTTGGTATACGTGATGAAAATATTTAAATTGAAAACAATTGTCTAGTTCTTATAAATGATACTGAAGTATTGAAAATTCAAAAAAGTTAATGAAATAATATCAATTTTGAAATTTTAAGTTTAAAATAAACATATTATAATAGTCATATATTCTGTAGATATTTGTCGGGTTCCGTATTTAAGTAGAATTGTGGATTATTTTGGATTTAAAAAGCATATTCATTTCATATTGTTTTGTATTTTCCACTATACCTATAATTGCAACCGTGAAAATTCGTGAGTCTTGACCTTGATTAGGCTGCTCAGTGCTCAGTGCTTTTTGAAGTATTCAATAAATCGTAACCCATGTTATGTACGATTCACTTATATACTGCGAACCACGGAACATATTCTGTATTACTGATTTCGTGTTTGTAGTGATCTACATTGCGTATAGAATAATCAATGTTTACTAATTTTTGATTAGAGAAATGGATCAAAAGATCAATGATGCAGATGAATGTTATATAATATTTATGGGTGTTCCTCTGTTGTTGTTTATCGAGTTGCTGGATGCTTTCTACCCACTATCGATGTAAATGTGACAATTTGTTTTATTTTAATCTTAATATACAAATATACAATAGGTATACTATATTGGTTGATTTCAGTCCTTTTCCGTGGAAAGAATTTAATTTAACTAAGCTATACGAACTATAGGATGATTACTTATAAAACAATAATTTAACAGAATAGTGGAATAATAAATGTACAACTTTGATTAAAATATATGGTTTTCCATTAAGACACTAGTTTACATGAGTAATTCTAGTATACCTATATCGATTTCAGTAAAGATTTAGGATAATATATGTATGATAAATCGTTTTGTGTAACTTTTTAAAATAATAATACACAATAATATTTTTAATTATTTAAAAATTATATTAGTCATAATATTACCATCGTAAAAACTTTAATACAAACCGTCCTTATTGATTTATATTATATTTTATTCATAGTAATTATATTCATTTTGTACTATTTTATATACATGTTAACATTTTTGGTTAGTTTTGGTGGGATTTAATGTAACAATAGCACTTTTAAATATGAAAATGTGATGTGTTTAATATGTTAATTTATGAATAATATTTGTTTATACTTTTTGCATATTTTTAATTTATTAGTGGTGGGTGGAAGAATACTAATGAATGGTATAAAAATATGGAAAAACACTAAATTTTGATGATATTTAGGACGTATAAATAATATTGCAATACAAAAATTACATGTATTGACGTGTTCTGTACGTATTCTGTACGAAACGTTTAGAAGTTCCGATTATTTTAACTGTTTTAGTCACTGTTTGATTCTAAAGACTATTTATGCCCCTCTCCCCTTACTTCCATCAACTGCTGGCGTATAGTATAAAAAAAAATAGTTTACCGGAACCTCCTCCTCCACCATTGATCGATACAATAGTTACACGGTCTATCCTATTATACCAGACATTGCTATGTTAAGGTGTGCCTCATATATAATATTATATATTGGGAACAATATACATATAGTATAGTATATATTATATATAGTATAGTAGGTGATTCTTTTATCGAACAACATTCATTGTTTCAAAATCTATTAATATTTTTTTTACATAATTTTCAATCAAAATAAAACATTTTTTTTTTTAAATATATATTTTTAATATTTTTTATAGTTATAACTTATAATTTTTTAAGATTTTTACTTTTTTTAATGACAACACACATTTTTAAATTTATATTCTGAAGCAGAATATTTTTCAAGTATTTTGATACATAAAATCCTTACTTCGGATGATTAGTTTCTAATTTATAAGTTATAATTGTTATAACTATATGTTATTTATAAATATTTGAAATTTCGGTGAACGAAATAGTAAACTATCATAATTTTGATGGATACATTCCACTCCTCTAAACTTAACTTTAAATAGTTATAACGCGTAAACTACTTATCCGAATAAAGATTTTTATTTATCGAAATACCACAAAAGATATTCTGCTTCAGAATATGAATTTCAAAATATATGTTATCTTTAAGAAATTATAAATTATAACTGTAAATGTGATGTTTTATTTCAACTGGAAATTATGTAAAAAATATTTTAAAAAACGTTTATAGATTTTGAAATAATAAATGTTTGATAAAACTAATAAAATAATTGTTTGTATAGAATTGTATACAATAAACGTCTATATTCTTAAGTTCCAAATATGTCCTTTTTCTTGATTATTCAATATTAAGAATAATTTTCATTGTTAAATTAAATTACTATTTTATCATGGCAAAAATAAAATCACGCCACCGAGTTTTGTATTCATATGAGAACTTGGGATTTGATTTTTAGAGGGGCTTAAACGATTTTAATATATATTAACTATTTATAAAAGTGTTGCATATCA